TAATCTGTGTTAGCAGGTTGTTTTTTTATTTTTTAAAAGATCGATACCACTGGGTTACAAAGAAATATTTTTTGGAAGTTGTCTTTGTTTTTTCAACTAAGACTAATTTGCCCCACTGAATCCAAAAATGACATCCATGTCTCCCAATCAGGTCAGGTTTTTATTCTAATTTGATTTTGAGAAATCTGATCTTCTGACTAAATTGATGACATTTTTGTGACATCATCAGTTCATTTCTGTTAATATTTCTCATCCAAAAAAAAGTTTTAGGAGAGAAAAAGAATTGTTTTCCAACAGAGTGTATTAATTAAATGTTACAAACTTGGATTTCTGCAAATTGAATAATAAACACTGATCAGGGTAACTACATGTGAGTTGAACATCACGTCTTCATTGTAAAATTCTCCGTCTCTTCCCTGTCCTGATGGAATCTCTCCTCCTGCTCATCACTCATTGATCAGATTCTCCAGATGTGAGAACAAGTCCTGCATTTTGATGCTCATGTTGCTCCATAGTTCAGAAAGTTGACCTGATTGAGCAAAACCAATGTGATTTTAGGATTCAGCTCATCAACATGACCCTAAAACAGTTGAAGTTCCCCAGACAATATTTTGGCTGATGACCAGTGTAACTGGTCAACAGCAGACAACCACAATCAGAAGTAACTGCAGCAAACCCATTTACAACAGTGAGAGGACAGTACAAGTCAGTTGTGACAGTGTGTCTGGTCTCACCTATGCCGGTTCTTCTTCCATAATGCTGGATGAGGAAGCCGATGGCGACCGTCTGCAGCATGAGGAACAGAGCCTCACCCCAGGCACTGTGGCCACATTCAGCATGTTACTTCAACCATCAAACCAAAAAGTAGAGATAAGCAACACAGAGTTAAAGTGCATGAGGTCCAGACCTGAAGGGGAACTTGTTGGACATGCTGTAGACCATTGTTCCAGTGATGGCTAGCAGCTCCAGGAGCACAGAGTTGAAGCTCAGCCCCTCTGCACTCTTTGCTCTCATCAGTTTTATGATCTGAGGTAATTTCACTGTGAACAGCGGAAGCAGAAATGTTATAGATGTTACAGATATACACAAGAGGACGTTTATCTAAAGAGATCCTAAATCCATTTTTGTCTAGAAGAGTGGAGGAGATAACTAAAGTTAAGCAGCACCCACAAGGAAAAGAGGTGAATTGGTTCAGATCAGATGAGAAAGAAAAACGTCCGATGCAGCCTGCAGAGGAGGCGTTAGCCACTAGATTTAGATTCTTCTGACTGAAAAATTAATGTTTTGAACCTGCCATGCTAAAACCTTGACTTGAATCTAATCCAGAACCGGTGAAGAGTGCTAAAGATTAGATTAGGGTGATGGCAGGAAGGCCTTCCAACCTGAACTTAAAGTTGTAGTTCCAGCAGACGGCATCCTCAGCATGTGTTGGGTTTCGAAAAGAAATTATCTTATGTTTGCATAATAAATTAAAACAGCTTATATCAACCTCTGGAGGCTAAATGCCTTTAAATTTTGAAATGAATTTATTCTTCTCCTGCTGCCCATCAGGCTGGGATTGATCAGGACAGCAGGCCTGGGCTGCCATGACGATCACTGGGGTTGCTTCTCAGCAAAACTAATTAATTCTTTCAAAAAAAAAAAAAAAAAAAGAAAAAGAAAGAAAGAAAGAAAGAAAGAAAGAAAACAACAAGAAAAAAAAATACTGAACTGAATTTGCAATTTAAAGTCTAGCTGTTAGGTAGGCCAAAATTACCCTGAACTGTCTGAGTGGATATTTGTATCACACAAAAAGCTTTACCTAAATTTAAAGTCAAACTTTAGCGCCAATCCCAATTAATCACAGGAATAATGAATTGGTTGAATATTTTTGTTAATATATTTGAGGAGAGAAACAACTCAGCTTTATTTAAACAGTTATAGTTTAAGACAGAAATAAATGATTTACCCAGCACTGATCCCAGGATGATGCCGATCCCCAGGGCTTTGCTCAGTACGATCTTCAGACATGGTACTGGTCCAAAAAAACAAAGAGGAATAAAATACATGAACACAGTCAATAGAGTGGAGATAATCAGTCATTTGATTTGACCCGGAATCGTCCAGATAAATGGAAGTAGATCTCTGTTTGGGTTAGAGCTGCTCCATGTGACCTTATGGACCAACATGATCTCATTCTGAATTTGCGCAACAGAATATGAAGTGAAAAGCAACATGAACCCAGGTTGTAGCAGAACATTATTCACAACACCACAGTCCTGCAGGCCTGGTTTCACTTCACCACGCATCAGAGTCCTGGAAGGAAGTAGGGACAGGTCAACATCGCCCTCTGCTGGGCAAATGGCAGAGGGATCTTGGGTTAAAAACGGTATTGGGAAAGATGAAAGTGAACAAGTGCTGAAAATGATTCAAGTGTTAAAAGTGTCTGACATCATGCCGCCGCTACTGACTTATGGATGGAGGCACAGTAGGTGGAGTTTGGCAGATTACACAGCAGATGAGGTGAAAATTAATAAATGATGGAGAGATGAATACAAACGTAACAATTTTTCTTCAACAAAAAGCAGAGTCTGCAGTCAACTGAGAAACTACTTTGAACATCTTGCTGAAGGCAGTCAGAAATGTTTGACTCAAGTCATTCAATAAGGAAACGCGTGCACGTGTCTGAATATGAAGAAAGTTGTTTAAAAATCCCTCATTATTCTGCCATTTAGAATGTATTAATAATTTAGGTATGGCTGAGGTAAAGCAGGGAACGTCTGGTTTGATTTAATGTCAGAGAGAAGAAACGGCATTTTCATACGGAGCGTGAACTATCTGGTTTTAACTGCATTTCAATTTCCAGGGTTTAAGCTCCCATTCATTTCCAAATCTGCTGTGTTTAAACTGCTGCAGCCCGGAGAACTGTGACGTGGGCTTCCGGTTGAGCAGCTTTCCCTGAATGCTCCCGCAACTGAATGAGGAACTTGTCTGCATATCTGGTGTTCAAACAAAAACATGAACAGACAAGCAATAAATCCCGGAAGACTTCACACCTAATTGCCACCATCATCCCGAGACACCTTGGACTGGAGGAAATGACGAAACCGAACACTCACCGTCCAGAAAGTCGAAATCCAGAAAGAACTTATCGTAGCAATTTTCTGGCATAAAATATGCCACTAATATTCCCCTAAAAGGATCCATGAATGATTCCCCTCTCGGATAACCTGACGTATCTGCCATATTCGATGACGTTACTCTTCATTGTGTTACCGTCACAAGTCCCCGGGAGTTTCAGTGAAATACAAAGGTTCCGCTGGAGCTTCTCACTCATAGACATTGTTCTCATTGATGGATGTAGGAACTTCCATAGTGTGGCTGAAAAGGAAAATGCAACATAACAGTTGTTTTAATGGAAATGTCACAATTTAAAAAGAAAGAAAGAAAAAGATTGAATTGTAAACCATTGAATAGAATTATACTTATATTATTATAACAAGCCTGGCTTATTTTATGGAGGGCAGAGTAAACAAGCTTTTACTTTAATATAAATACATAAACAAACCTTAATGTAACCTTTCAAATAATATAGCCATGTTTATTAATTCATAAATAAATAATAAGGATATAAACAGTGACATAAACATTAGCTCATATGTTGCAGAAATCTAAGAATCTAATGTTTCCAATCTCTGAAGTCTATTTCTTTAAATGCACAATCAATCTCCTCAAGTAAGAATAGCAATTATAATATAATTAAAGTAAAATAAAAGAGGACAGTTTTCCCCCAAACAGTTACTCAATAAATGTAACCAGTACTACCTATGTTTGAACATAGATAACAAAATTAGTAGACTAAACTTGTGAACAAGCTTAATGTGATATATTGGCATTAGCTAGTCATCATTTTTCTGACATTACCTGCATATAACAGCATTACTCATCTCACTCTGTCAGCTTGTGGGTGTGGGGGGGGGGGACTGTGCAAAGTTCTTTTCCTTTTGCTGGTTTGCTACCATGACTCTAACACACACCTGCAGCTCTGAACAGCATGAGCAGCAGCATATCTCTGTCAACAGTATATATGTTGACATGAATCAATAATGATTCCTCAGTTTTGATTTAATATAAAATCAATACACAAAATACACATAGATCCAAAGTAAGATGATGGTTGATTCAACATTGATATAGTATAAGTTATGATTGAAAACCTAACGTTGACTCAACATGTAAGTCACTGACCACTTTTTAAATGTCAGGCTTCAAACATGGATCCAATGTTTCTGCCTGTCCACATTTTGCTGTCTGGAAAAGCTCTCATCCAGAGCTCAAAGAGGAGGAAGAGAGTATCTGCGACACACAGCATATATTGAGTCAGCATTGATTAGACGTTGAGATTTCAATCATAATATAAAATAATAACCACAAACATTGACGTTATTGATGTGAATAAAAGCTCTTTCAACCCACAAAGTAAAACAAAGAGAAATAAACACACATGAATTAGTCAAATAAAAATAATAATGTGTATCTTTAGGCTTATGCAAAACAATATTATTTTCTTAGAATTCTGTCTTTATTCCCCAGAATTCCCTTTTGCAGCATGCAGACCCTACATTTTTATTCTCTACTGTGCATACTATTCAGACTCAGACTCAGTTTCTGCTTTCAACACATTTTGAGCCATTTTCAACTCATTTTAATTCATTAGGCATATTATGCCACAGTTAGTTCTTTGTTTACGTCAAACAGCAGCGGTTTATAAAAACAAAATAAAAGCCCCATAGGTTCTAACATTAGATTTCAACCTTAGCTGGAAGTTAAATGTTAATTCTAACATTAGCAATAAAAAAAATATTTCAAAATGAGGCATCCTTATTTCGGAACATTTTGCTAGAGTTATCCATATCACTAAGACACTAAAAGGCTAACAATGCCTTTACTCTTCAAACGTTTGCAGAAGTTGTCGTTCAGTTTCATATCTGGACCGAAAGAGGGCAGCATTCCACCCATAGATCAGTCTTTGTAACGAAGAAGAAGCAGCGTCCATCCTGTCACAGACAGCAGCAGTTTGTGTGTTTTTACAGAAAGTCGTTTGTTTGTGAGGGTCAGATGGCCGCAGTGTGTGATCGGTATCGGAGAGTGTGTTTGTCAGATACTCAGCTGGACTTCCCGGGCCAGCCGTACTCTGTGTCCGTCCTTAAAGTCGGTTACTGCGTCCCTCAGACTGACGGGACGTTCAGAGCCGACGGGACTATTACCCTCATAAGGGGAGTCATGGACATTCTGGTGGATACCGGGGGGCCCTGGGACCGGGAATTCCTCCTCCACTCATTAAAGCGAAGAGGCCTGGAGCCCGGGGATATACAGCTGGTGGTGGGGACTCACGGACATTCAGATCACATTGGAAATTTGAATCTCTTCCCTTCTGCATTGACTATAGTGGGATACGATATCAGTGAGGGGGACACGTACCGCCCCAACCAGCTGGCAGAAGGACAGGTCTACACTGTGGATGAACATGTAAGGATCACATCGCCTGCAGCACTTTATTTAAACTTCACCAAAACAGTCTGTGTATGACTGAAGCTTATCTTTTTGTGGCATTCAGTGGCCACATTTTCTTATTTGGAAAGATTCATGTGATGCGTTTTATTTACCTCGGAAATCTTAACTAAAACAACCCTGGAAGTCAGAATACCACCAAGTTTCACCTTAAAACACAACAGTGAGGATGTGATTATTGCAGAAATAATATGTCCATTTTCACTTCTAAAGGCTCTAATTAAATCACTAATACAGCAGTTCTCAACGTGGGCGGTACCTCAGGGGGGGGAGGGGGGAGCGGGGGTGCGTTCAGAGGACGGAAGGGGGCGCTGGCGGAAATTTTTACAAAAGGGGAGCGCTGGGATTCCTTTTGGGGGCGTTTGGTCGAAGGTAAACTTTACACCTTAAATGAAGAACAATATCAGTTTAGACTTTGAGCAACTTGTTAAAATTGTATTGTTTAACATTAAATCATGCTTGGCTGCAACGGTATCGATGGCAGCTCTTCTTCTTCTTCTTCTATTCAGTGTTTGTAGCTTCTTGGCGCAGCTCCGTTCTCCTGCTTCTGGTAGCTTCACCACATCAGTTCAGCGTTACACCGGCTGATGACGTTGCTGTGATTCACTTTGTCTGGTATTTTTGTACTTATGTTTCGGCAGTTCTGTGATCATGTCAAAGCAGCAACTTATATTAAAAACTGTTTTATTTCCGTTTGAAAGCTGCCCGCTTCCATGGAAGGACAACAGAAAATTGCTCTTATAAACATGTAATTACTAAAATCACTTTGTACCCTCACTTTGTATCCCTCTGAAAAATGAACCCATTTAAATAAAGAAATCCCTCCATGGTGACACCTCGATAGAGAGCGTTCATTTTATAGCGTTAACATCGGAGCTGTAAGTGGTCCGGTATTCTGTCAGATCAGCATACATTGTCAGATAGTTATACCTTAGCTCAGACATGTATAGC